CAGGTGTTTGGATGCGGATGGCATGGGGGGGTGGGGGGTGGAGGAGGGGACGCCGGTTTTAGGCAGAGCGAGGCGCGCAGGGAGAGAGGGAGGGGGGGCTGTGAGCGGCTACCCGACAGACCAAAAAGCCAAACCGCTCGTCCAAGACTTTTAACTTCCATCATTCCTCCTGCTCTTCCGCTTTCTTTCTGCCCTCCCCGTTCTTTTTTCCTTCCTTCCTTCCCCTGCTTTCCTTTCTTTATTCATTTCCCGGCGTGCGGAGCAGCCTCGGCAGAGCAGCGACCATGCCTCAGCTCTCTGGAGCCGGAGGAGGCGGCGGCGGCGATCCGGAGCTCTGCGCCACCGACGAGATGATCCCTTTCAAAGACGAAGGCGACCCTCAGAAGGAGAAGATTTTCGCGGAGATCAGCCACCCCGAGGAAGAAGGAGACTTGGCCGACATCAAGTCTTCGCTGGTGAACGAGTCGGAAACGATCCCCGGCAGCGACGGGCATGAGGTATGCCTGGCCAGAGACGCCTGGGGGTCCCTTCGTGCGAAGGACGGCTGGTGTGTGATCGCGCGCGTGTGCATGCATGCACGACAGCTGATGGAGTGGAACAAACTTTCTGGAATGGGCGATTGCCCAGGATTACTTAGTCACGGGATCCTCGACACCATAAAGTTATCCGCGGAAAACACACTGTTTTTGCTCTTTGGGTGGCCGTCGGGGAAGGAGGGGGCGACCCTTTCCCTCCCTTTCCTGTCGGTTTTGAGCCGCTTTATACCTAAAGCAGCAAGTCAGCTGTGGCGCGATAAATGTCTCTGGAATGCGTTCGGGGGGGGGATGTCGCTTTACTCTTCCGGGGTTCAGGAAAGAGAAGTTGAATTCCGCAAAACTCCAAGCTTATAGCTTTGGGGGGCGGAGTGGTGAGGGGGGGAGGAAGAGAGAGAACGAACATTGTTTTGAAAGTGCCGATGGAAATGCCTCTTTCTCGGGCTAGCTACAGGGGAGGAGGGCGTGCGCGTGCGCGCCCGGGCGTGCACCCGGTGTGGAAAACGGGAAACTGGAAGCCGCCAAGTGTGATCCTGCTTTGACCACGGCGCTTTGAAAACCGATACGCCCCTGTAGCCCATGAATGAGTAGCGCTTGGCGTAGTTGGGGGAAGGAAGGAGGGCGACAGGAGCTGGGAGCTGTTGGCTTCAGCTTTCCTGTAAACCCCCCCCCCCCGCCGCCTCCGCTTCCTCTCTGGAGTGGTAGGTTAGGGCAGGCACCGAGGTCGGGAAGCCGTGCGTGTATTGTTTATCTGACGCTTTATTCTGCCATCTTCCTTCCCTCCCCTACTTGTAATCCTTTTTTTGGGGGGGGGGGTAACTGTTTAGTTTCCCATTAGGTTTCGTTTGGGTTTTTGCCCAACTCATTTCCCTTCGTTTTTTTCTTCTTCTTGTGTATACATGGTTCATTATCGAACCAGGAACAGAAGCCTTCGACCTGCTCAGCGATTAAAAAATTGAGATTGGTGCCGCATATTCTGCATGTTATCACGGTTACACTCTGTGCCTTGCTTGGGTGTATAGCAGTAAGCAGGAACAGAGTAGTGTACATAGAGATACACGTGGGTGGCTGGGCAGCAGCTGTCTCTTTTCAGAGGGGAGAAATGTATGTGGTTGGAGACAGATAATGCAAAATACTACATAGTTAATATTTGCCTGTATGCTAGAGGAGAAAGGGGTTAATTGATTGATATGGAGGGTAATTTACAATGTATTTTAACTCTTCCAAAAAAGGGAGGGTTGAGGGAATCAACTGAGAAAGCCTCTCTGTAGCCTAAAGGAGGCAGACTTTTGGTGCGTGTTTGCTGGCAAAGGAAATATTTACAGGCTCTGCTGCCCAGTGTTTTAGTAAAAGTTGAAGTTTAATAGCTTTGAGTGTGTTTGAGGAAGAGGCTGAAAAGCACGTAGAGAAACTTCAGCAGTTTTTACTTCTCCAGTTTGAGTGGCTTAACCACTGGAGCTGGTAGCTGTGTTTGGTATTAGTAGAATTTTTTAGGAAAGTGGACAAGAGATTGCCCTACAGATACCAGACAGGTAAATGGTCCCAAGCACACTTACTTCAGGTATGGTGCACTTAGAATCAGTGCCCTGTATCACTGAGGCTGCAGTCCAAGACATGCCTTTAAGAAAGGCACTTAGGAGTCAGGACTTCGCTTTCATATCAGGCAAAATCAAAAGAAAAAAAAGGACAAAAACATGTCACCTTAAAGACAAACTATTACATTTTAATGTGAGTTTTTGTGGACACATCCACTTTGTCAGACATATGGAAACAGAATGAAAACTTGAAGGAAATACTATCAGTTTAATACTAAATATTGATTGGATCACTGTGTGTAAATATAACATACAGTACATCCAAGAGTTGGGTTTTCACTGTCTGTTCTCACTGACTGCAGTGTTTCAGTTTGTCTTCTGAATTCATAGAAACTTTGGTTCATTAAAGAGGAGCTTGTGACCTATTATTTTATGTTTAATAATATTCATTCATATAATTTAGTATTTGCAGAAAATAGTGTTTAACTTTTAGTTCTTGTAGCAACTACCCTATTTCCCTGAAGATAAGACCTAACCTGAAAATAAGCCCTAGTATGATTTTTCAGGATGCTCGTAATGTAAGCCCTACCCCAAAAATAAGCCCTAGTTAAGTGAAACCCCACCCTCCACCATTGTGCAGCAGCCAGAAGATGACATGACTGTAAAATAAAACATCCTCCGAAAATAAGCCCTAATGGATTTTTTGGAATAAAAGTTAATATAAGACCCTGTCTTATTTTCAGGGAAACATGGTACCAAGTAACTTCTTAACTGCTTTTGTGTACAAACATTATGTAATGTATGGAAGTTCTTTTCTCCCAAAGCCTGCAATTTTTCACACTGGTAGGGGCTTAAGCGGGTACCCATAGGTGAGCATAAGGCCCAAACAGGCTATTTTTTTCTAGCCCCTAGCCCATTCTTTTTTGACAAAAAGAAGAGGTTTAATTACAGCTCTGGAAACTTTGGGCAGCTGGCAATTTATCTTTTAAAAATAGGTCACAGGTCCTCGCCTGTGCCAAAAATACATGTTGTTTCTTTGAAACTGGATGTAGACTTTCAGCCATTTCCTCCCTCTCCCCCTCTTTCCCCTTTTTTTTCTTTTTGGTGATATTGATGGTCTGTGCAGCCCCTTCAGGGCCTTAGTGACAGAAAATTAGCTCCTGGAGGCAGTGTAGTTGCCCACCCCTACTCTGCAAATGTAGTGTGAATTAAGCCCCATTAACACTTACGTCTGAGTAGACATGTGTAGGATTGAAGTATAAATCAGTTTTCATGGCATAGGCAAGGGTTTGTATGAATCACAGGATCATATAATACTATTAGGCCTAGAGAAGCCATGAAATTTCTTGGGTTAAAATCAGCAAGGTCAGAGTATTAGTCATAAACTCTTTAAAGGATTTGCATAAACTGTCGGGCAACTTACCAACAGTAAAACAAACTAGAGATGTTGTGTGGTTCTGCCCCCCCCCCCCAAATGCTTGGATATTTCAGAGACTTTCATAATGCCGTTTTAAAAACAAACAAAAATATGCTTGCATAAAAGAACAGTTGAAAGTCATTATGTAGAAGTGATTGGAAATAGAAGACGGGTACAAATTGGAAAATGCAGAATGTTCCTCATTTTAGAATACAGTATTTTCAAAACGGACAATCAATTTTAGAATATTTTCAAAAAAGACTGTAAGGTTACTGGTTTTTGTTGTAGGGAAATACAAGGTAATAAAATGCATAGAAGTGCAGTAATAACTCATATGATTTCTTTTGGATAGGTGTCCAGACAAGGTCAACCTCAGGAGTCTTACCATGAGAAAGGCAGAGAGCATTCTGAAGAAGGTGAGCCAGAAGATTGTTTCTTTATTCAGGTGTTGGATTTCACTGTTACAGAAATAGAGATTTGCAGTGCTGATGCATAAGGAGATATGAATGAACTAGGTTCTGTAATAGTTATTTAAGCCTAAATCCAACTTTTCCCTATTGGGCAAGTGTAGTGCAAGAGACAATCCCTATGTGTAGTGCTTGCACCTATGATCCCTATTATTGCTGGCTTTCAAGTTGAAAACTGTGTAGTAATCTGTGCAGTTCTACTGCGCTGACTCCATAGAAGTACATCTGGTAGCAGAAGGCACCTCATGCTAGCACAATGATACTGTTGGAAATAGATTACTTTGGCAAGTTCAGTTGACCAACCGGCATCAAGTGATGGTATGTCCTGATGTTGGTCGTAATCATGTCTTACCAAGAAAGTTATTTCTCATGTTATGCTGGCAGTCTGAGTGTTCACAGGCCACTTCCTACTCCACTGCAAAAGGGCCCCTAAAATGGAAAAAAAACAAAACCAAACCAGAGGGATTGGGGGGGGGGATTATTTTATTTATTTATTTGTTTTGGCTACAAGGCCACTCTGGGCAGTTTATAATAATAAAAAAATTAATACACAAAATAAAGGCATAGGTCAAATTACAACTATTATAGTGGATATAAACTCAAAATTAAGCAAAAGCAAACACAAATCAAAATTGAACATACACCATAAAATAGTTTCAAGCATTACAAATGGAGGAGTAGCTCATTTTAAAGATAATAATTACTGCTGGATGCTTCCAGGAGTAACAGTTCACATGTTGTGCCCCCAGATTTTTAGAGTGTGCCTTGAGGCCTCAGGACTTCCCAGAATTGGCTGGAGAGGCCACATGATTCTTACCACTATGTTGGCCCTTTATGGTATGGGAATGTTTCCATAAATAAACCTCTCTGTCTAAACCATGACAGCACAAAATATAACATAAGGAAGATTATGTTATTTGTTAAATTAAAAATAAATAAAATGTTTCTTAGACTTACTCCCATTGGAAAATAGATATATACTTTTCTCTAATGAAGGTGGGCAGGCATTTAGTACCTACATTCTAAAGCTTGTTTTCACACAATTAAGTGGCAGTTGCACTGATTGAGATATTAGTGTGGTGTAGTGGGTAGAATGATGGACTAGGATTCAGGAGCCCCTCTGAGCCATGGAAACTCACAGGGAGTCAGGAACTGGTAAAACCGCTCCTTAAATATCTCACCTACCTTGAAAGCCCTATTAGGGTAGCTATAAGTCAATTCTAACTTAGTCACATAACAAGCTCCCTTGTTGTAGGGTTTAGTGTAGGTATCAGAAATGCTAATTAAATGTTTGGATGGCTCTCCAAGAAGACAATCAGCTGTTACTTTTACAATGGCTAGTTAGGTTAACATGATTTGTACTGCAGCATCTATTGGTTTCATATTAGAACCTAAAAACAGACATGTCTTTTCCATTGGGAAATAAAGGTTGAAGACCTGGGCCACTTTTGTCAATAAAGCTTGCAGTGTGAACTCCACAAAATTCAGCATTTTAACTTCAGCCTGGGTGCTTGCAAAATAGCCATTATCAATTTAATTAGGCATTAAGCAGCTTAAAAATAGGACCCTCTATGATGAGAAGTAGGCTGTCTGGCTAGGTATCTGGCTGTGGAGCCAGTGATTCGGAATTAAATTCCCTACTGTGCCTTCTGTGAGTGCAGCCAGCCTGTGTGGCCTTGGGCACAGTCCCAGGGCACCCCCAGAAGAAGTGAACGGCAAACCACTTCTGAGTACTGTGTACTTGGAAAATCTGAAAATGGATGACGGCACAGGATGATCATAATAAGTACCGTCACTAACAGCACAGTATTGTTGAACTGTTTTTCTCCTTAATTGCTTGTACTGGCATGATGAAAATAAAATCATTCATGCTGCATAGTATATACAAGATATTTTGTTTAAAACAACAACAGAATTTATTTAGGTTTTTTTAGCTCTTTACTGGAAAATACCACAGGCAGGGACATCTAGAAATGACACCAGGATTCCAGATGTGTTCGTAAACTGACGTATTGAAAATCTGAATATTATTGGTATTCACTAGGCTGAGGTCTGCTTTTTTCCCTTTTGGAAAGGCCATTTGTATATCCAGATGTGCAGGAATACAAATCATAGAGCAGAACTCATTATAATTCACAACTAATTGTAGTGTAAGATCTTACACCTACTTCAAAACTATCCCTCAAGCAGACCTAAAGACCTTTATCATTAAAGATAAAAACAGTGACAATAGAATGGAAGTAGTCCCCCCCCCAACAATTTAAAACTGGAGGAATATTTATTATAATAAAAGATTGGTTTCTTATGCATTAAATTCCTAATAGTAAATCTGTTAATTGCTCTTGCTTTTCACAGGAAAACACTCAGATGGTGGCTTATACAATAAAGGACCTTCTTACTCTGGCTATTCTGGGTATATCATGATGCCAAATATGAATAATGATCCATATATGTCCAATGGATCTCTCTCTCCACCAATTCCCAGAACAGTAAGTTATTTTTAATATATATATATAATCTATCTGTCCGTTAACTATTCGCGTAGGGAATAAGTGAGTGTACAAGAAATGACTCCTTGTAAAGACAAGCTTTGTTTACAGATTAGCAAACCTTCCTTTTTGATAGGATTTGAGAGGGACACGTATTAATTAAGATGCTGACAGTGCATTCCTGCTGTTCAGGTTAATTTCTTACTGTGTGCAAGCTTTTAGGGCATTTTGAGAAGATTTTAACAGACACAGTAGCTTGGCAGTGTGACTTCAGTGGCAGGTATAACCAATGGAACGCCTCTGTGGCACTCATTGTAAATTTAGCCTAGGGAGATGCAGATAATTGCTAGAGGGAGGAACTCATCTTCTAATGCGGTACTATGCATCCTCACGGGCAGGTGCTGTTGAATTAGAGAGGGGTTTCCTTCTGAGTAGACATGCATACAATTACACTGTGTATATCATTGTCTGGGTTGACTAAAGAGGCTGAGTGCAGTCTTCCGTTAATCTGTCCCAAACAATGCGGTATAGCTGAAGGTCTTTGTATCAGAATTGGTGGTCAGTGGGAGAGTTATATAGAAATACCTTGTTTCCTTTAATTCCTTCCTTATGTGGCCCTCTTTCTGCCTTCTCTTAATAGGAAGAAATGCAAATAAATGCTGTGTATGCAAGGTGCTCTAAAATACCTATCAGTGTCATTAATAGTCTTGGTGCCTCCTATTTGTAATCTTTAATCAAATTAAGTTTTTTTTTTAAATGAATGCTTATTTAAAATGTGGTAGATTCTCAGAGTCATTAGTGGTGCTAATCTTACTACTTTGCATTAGGCATTTGCTAGTACTGTACAAATGGATATAAGTAGGTTTGGGGTTTGTTTGATAATTGATTTAATTAACTAATTGAATAATTGTTTAAAAAGAGGGATGACTCCATCTGAGATGAAGGATTTTAGGGCATCATTGTATGCCTCCTGTTGTCTGTGAGCTGAGTCACAAAAGCAAAACGTGTAGTTAAAGTGAAATAAATGCCTTCATGACCTGATTGCAGTGGGAGAGGAGAAGAATGCAATAAACCTTCAAAACAGAGTTTCTGCACACAAAAGTTAAAAATCAGTCATGTGGTGAATGCTCCTAGTGCATGAATTATACAAACAGAACTCTGGGATTGGTGATAACCGTGATCTCACCACTGTGTGAAATATAGCGTGATCCTAATGCTGTGATCCTGTGGATGCTTATTTGGGGACAAGTCTGATTTGAGGTTGGTTGATTTATTCCTCAGTATGGGGGATATGATTACATTGTTCTTCTGTGAATTGCTGGGGTGAATATTAGTGTTGTTTGTAGTGGTGATGGATATAGGGTTTATGAGCTATAGGAACATCAGCCTATACCACTGAGTGAGATGCAGAGATAGTTATACAGCAGCACTCTATTTTTTTTAAATTATTGTTAATATTTTGTGTTACTCATGCTTCCAGACATCAAAATTGAGTTCAAAGTGTTCAAAGAAATAAGCTGAATACATAAAGATTCAATATGTGAAAATTAAATTGTGTATTAGGTATTTGCTAGTTAGGTTTGTTTTCTTCGTGTTTGTCACTGGCTTACTCTAGTGATCATTAAGTGGTTTGGCTAGATGTGCTATGAATATACCTGAGAATGCCAGTATTTTAACCAGCAAATGATCATTTTGTGTTTTTTCATGTGAAGTAAAAATGTGATTATGGAGGAGAAAGAAATGATTAACACTAGACTCTATATTGTCAGAAAAATACTTGTATCTCCCAGTGTTCTTTTAAGCACCTAGAGTTGTTTTAAAAGTACAGTGTGTGGATATAAAAACATCTATGTATGTAAGTGTATTCTTATGAGTACACATGTGTCTTCAATAACAGAAACTCTGAGCTTATATCTGTTCCTGTTGTCAAAATAAAGTTACTAAAATGGGGAAAAAAGTTTAACTTCCTAAAACCGTAAAATTGCCTCCTGCTATACAGATAAACTGTTCACTTTAAATTGCTGTCATGCTGCTGTTACAACTATTATGTTTAGTAAAAAGGCATCATTAAAATGCTTTGGCTTTTTTATATTTTTAAGGGTGTCGTGTAGAAGGAATGAACTTAACAGAAGTGGAAATTAGGGAATGTTGTTGCATTTTTGAGCTGCTTGTTTTTGTTCCATTGACATATAGGTTGGTTTTCTCATTTTAACCACAAGATTACTAAGTTTGTGCTTTATGTGTTTGTGTTATAATTGCATTGGTATTGTATTCAACAGTATAAACCATGAAGTTCAAACATATTTTTGCTTAGTTTCTACAACGTGTGTTTTTGAAGCAATTAAAGTCTTGACAAAAGAAAACCCTTGTCAGGTTAAAAGTATGCTTGAAAGAGACAACATGGCTTGGAGGAATACTTGCAGAAATAATTGATAGACTTGCTGCTATAAATTCACCTTTACAGTTGTGTTACTTTGTCCTACAAGCTTGGGAAGTATTAACATTGTCATACTTGCATGTGTACTTCTATAAGCTAAATTGCAACCAATTAATAATTCCATTCAAAAGATTCTATTTAAGTAAGCACTGATATTTATCAGATTCCCTGCACATTAAAAAGTCAGGTTGCCCTGAACAATGGCATTAAGTGCATCCCGGGTTGTTCTGTTCCTGAATAATATCTGTAGGGCAACAGATGTGATTGACATAAGTGCTTTTTTATGTTAATGAAGAATTTCACAAGTTACTACGAAGAAAATTTGTACACAAGCAATCATTTAAACATAGGACCATGTGCCTCTAAATACATCAGAACATCTGTTCACCTGGAACAGAGAGAAACCAGAAGGTGGTGAAGTAGAACTTCATAACCTGAGAAAATACATTTCTTAGTGGCTGTACCATTAAAGACACTAAACCAGCATTAGTAAGAATTTGTGCCAGAAAAACGTGTGAGCAGAAATATATATGTTAATGCTTTCCTGAAATGTTACATATTTTAAATAAGGCTTGCACATATGCTTGTATACTGTACCATCCAAAGGTTTTTGTGCTATGCTTGAAATTCTCATGTGGTTTAGCAGTTTTTCTTTAAATAAAGAGGAATAATGGTATTTATAGGCTTCTTTTTGGCATAGTTTTCAGTGTATTTTGCTGATGTTTTAAGATACTCAAATGATTAGGGAAAAAGCAGTATCTCATGGTGCAGTGGTTGAACTGCAGTGCTGCAGTAAAGACTTTGCTTCTGACTTGAGCTCAATCCCAACAGACTCAGGTCGCCAGCTCAAGGCAGACTCAGCCTTCCATCCTTCTGACCTCGGTAAATTGAGGACCCAGCTTGCTGAGGATGGAGCAATGTGTAGCCAGTACTGTATAATTAAATTGTAAACCAACAAGAGTATGCTTTAAGGGCTATGGGGTGATATATATGCAGCAAGCTTTGCTTTTTGCTTTCTTTTCTGTGGTATTCTGTTAGTGGATTAAAATTGCATATCCACTTAGAGAGTGAGGGAGTGAGCAAGAAACTACTTCTTTTAAAGACAGTAGCCTTGTGAATGGATAAGCAAGTCAGGAGATCAGTTTTGAAGCCTCTCTTTATGTCCTGATTCTGAATTGCCTTGAATTAATTCTCAGCATTAAGTAATGAAATGTATCCCTCTCCATTGATCAGCATATGATTTATCTCATGGCTTCTCTGCCCTCTCGTGCTTACTGTCCTTTTCTAAGAAGGTTTATGCCTTAATGGGGAAACGTCCCTAGACTACATTGGGCAAAAGGAATCGGTCATCTGACTCACTGTAAAAATTCAAGATTCCAAGGCTTATTGGTGCCATTCATAAGATTGTTTTCCATGTAGATCTCATGGTGTGGTGTCATCAGAAAGCATCTCCTGAGGCTTTTGGCTTTCAGAGAGAGGCTGTCAAGATAGCTGACGGAGGGAAACTTGTTACCAGACTAAAATCTTCCCATCCTGTTAAGTTATGCGTAGCTTGTTTCTATTCTGAAATAGCTCATGCTGCCTTCAGATACCTGAGGTTACAAGCTTCCAGCTTATTGAGACAAGCTGCTATAACTCTGGAAGAAAACAGCACGAACAGCTGGAGCAGCAAAAGGGAGAACACTGTCCTTCACAAAGTAAGTGCTAATGTAGCACATATGTCAAGAGTGAGGCTACAGAGCTTGTGAATATCGCCTTGTGGGCCTTTTGGCAGCCTCTGAAGCTGTATAAAGTGTCAGCTATGGAAGGAGATGGAAGAAAGAGAGGCCTTCTATTTTGCACTTCAAGGAAGAGCCATTTGCCATTTCTGTCATAGACCTAGGTCTATCCTTTGTGTATTACTTTAGAGTTCCTTTTTTAACATTATGTCACATTTTTAGGCTGTATATTTTCCAAAGCATTTAGAATAAAATTTGGTTAAGGTGGCAACGAAGAACCAGTAATGGACAGACTGAGACTCTAGGATTCCTGGGTTCAAATCCCCACTTGGCCATGGCAACTCGCTTGTGAGTAGGGCTGGTGAAACTACTCCTTAGGTGACTCACATACCTTGAAAATCCTATTAAAGTCATTATAAATTGGATGTGAATGTATAGCAAATAACAAAGGTGGCAAGTATTATGATTTAAGTTATCATATAAAATATGGCCAGTTTACTTTGTCTTTTTTCCCCTTCCTTAAAATCTGTCTAGCTTTCTAACTGTCCTGATTTTAGTTCTTAGCTGGAATAACTATATGGATAAATGGGATTCTTGTCCAGAAGGTTGGAAAGAAGCCATATGTATGCCAGTATAGACAGTGAGCCATCTCAATTTTAACGTGAATTCCCGTAGATACTGCTTTTAGCACCAATACTGGGTTTATTTTGCACTTTCAATAGACTTCAATGATAGGGATGTCCCAAAACTGTAGCTGACAGTTTTAAACAGCAGGAACTATTCTTAGGTGGCACTAAGAGTGGTCACACGAGAGAAATATTATGTCGGTATCCACCAGTTAC